TAGCAATCATAGTTACAAGTCAGAGAGAATACAAGATTTCAGCTATAAAGAAAAATTGCCATCTGTACTAAGGGTGTGCAAAGTAGGCCCTATTCTATTCGCATTCAACCCAAATCGGGGACAGTGATTCATTTTGTTGATTCGGATCGCTGTCCCTCATTCTATTCAGCCAAATCCCAATCTGAAGATTCGATGCTGATTCAGAGAATCAGCAACTTGGACATGGGCACAGCTTTAAAAGTTTTTTCTGCGTATCTCGAGGTACCAGCACGGCTTGTGAATGCTGCGATGCTGGGGCAGATGGAGCATCCCACAGGAGTGCGGGGGGGTGCCCTCCAAGTACTTCCAGTCCACTTCTGGGTCTGCCGGGGACCGTGCAGGGGGGCCCCCCTGTGCTCCCTCTGGCTCGGTGATCAGCCACAGGGGGACCATGGGTGCCCCCACAGACCCAAAAGGCATCAGTTGCTGAGTCAGGACAGCGTGGGTTGCCACCCATGTGCTCCCCGGCAGACCCAGAAGTGGACTGGAAGTGCACTGAGTTTTCATTGAGCGTGAAAACCAGCCAGAATCAGCAAGCTCAGACATTATGTAGAGCTACATCAGTAGTTGTAGCAAGTATTGTAAAAGGAGTGGTTTAAAAACAAGCAGCTGTGACCAGGACGCCGATGATATGTGGAGATAGTAGTTGACAGTTGTTTGCTCTGATATCCATTAGAGGTCCTGATTGTCTGACCCAGATCTCTGTCCTAACTTTCCTGTTGGTTTTTTAAATGCTATCTTAATTTATCGTTGATGTTTTTGCTGATATTATGTTTTGTTTTAGAAGATGTTATTTAAAGAGAAAGATGCAACCGTAGCCATTGGAGTCATGTCATATGACAGAAGTATAGCCTTCTGGGTATATCTAAACTACGCTTCATTCCACTCATGTAGACATGCCTGGGTTTGTTTTAAACTAGGTAATTTTGGTACTGCCAACAGTGTAACTGTGGTACCATAGTGTCCAACATGGGTTAACTCTCCAAATACTTACCCAGCTTCTTGAGTGAACTTTCCAGCTCTTGCTGGGCCCTGGGCTGCCACAGGTATTCTGCTGCTGAAACCCAAGCTAGCTAAGTTAAAACTAGCACAGGCCAAACTACACAAACTGCAGTCACTGCAGAGAAGACAGATCCCCTGATATTGTCATGTGCCTGGGGAGGAGAAGGAAATAGATCTTGGTTATAATCACTCTCTGTAGTTCATTTCTATTTCACCAGCTATCTGTTATAAAAGGATAGAAAATTCCTAAGAAATATTTGGCAGGAAGTATGTTTTCCTGCCTTTCCACAGTCATTAGAGGTTTTGCTAATACCTGCTTTGCTTTGTAAGGAGTCTCTCTGAATATTTGAGGAGCTCTCTTCCTTTCCCTTCTCCTTCCAAAGTTACTGTTTTTTAGGGATTACAAGAGGTTAGAGGGGAGAGTGCTCTGGCTCAGTGGGCCCTTTCTCAACCTTTCTAGCTGACAGGGAAATTTAGGGATGGGTTCTTCTGAAGTGTTTAGCATTGCCCTAAGTCTGCTCCTATTGAATCCACTCCCCTATGCCTCAATAGAATCAGAGTTAGCCCAGTACTATATAGTTCTTAAAAATCCCATCTAGGTGTTTATGCTTCATTACCTGTTTAAATTTTTTTCATGGTCTGTTGATGTTCTGTATTAAAGCTGCCTTTCTGATTCTTTCATCAATTAGCCATAAAATCTTCTGTCAGTGTGAATTGGCTTGTAGTTTCTTGTTGAAAAATGGTTGTGAAGTCTTCTAAATATAGTTCAGAAAGTGAAAAATGTTAAGGAAGAGGATATGGTTTTAAATTCATAACTAAATTGGGTTTTTTTTTTTTGTTTGAAAAAAGGTGTATAGCTGTTTGCTGTCTTGGAGTTTGGATATGTGAAGAATTAACACAATGCACAAACCACCCCCAAGTGAAGGATGCAATAAATGTTATAGGTGTGACACTAAAGGTATTAAAATGGAATACATCTATGATTAACAGATGGAAGGTGTATGAAAATATTACTTGGAAAATTCACCAGTTATGTACTTACATGCTTTTCTGACTCAGGATCAAGATGAGTGTTGCATTCAGATGATTGGTTCTTCTGCAAAAGTGTGTATACTGTTCAGTAGGTTCAAAATAGTCTATGCATATTTGGCTTTTAAATATTTTTTTAAAAACAGAGGAATTTGCTGTGCATGGAACTGCTCAGCAGTTTTTCCTTTCTTTTGAAGGTTTTTTTTAGGACCCGCACACCTGTTTTCCAGCTGCACCAAAGACATAAAAAAAGAAAAGAAAATGCACAGATATGAGTTGGTCACTCTGTTGCTGGAGATACTTACATTTAAATGCAAAGAACATACTGAAAAATAAGCATTTCCCCATCATCCCTAAAGCACAGCCCATGTGTACACAATTGAAATGAAATTAATGAAATGGTTTTACTTCAAATTTTAGTGAGGAGAGTGAATGAATCATAAAAAGATTTTTATCCTTGCACAGTACAGTTGCTTATTAGGTACAACTTCTTTGACTATGCTGAAGACATGTAATGAAGGAGTAGGACTTCGTTAAGGAGTAATAAGTTCCTGCTAGTCTATAAATGCTCTGACTAAGATGACAAGGTTCCTTGGGTGAATTTGATATCTATTATTAGACCAACCCAAATAGTTGGAGAATATTTATTAAGCAAGCTTTCAGGTTCAAAAACCCTTCTGGCTTCTTTACTTTTCATTCCATCCAGGAAGAGCACGTACCAACTGCTGAAACTTCCTTAGCCTGACGAAGGGTTTTTGAACCTGAAAGCTTGCTTAATAAATATTCTCCAACTATTTGGCTTGGTCTAATAAAAGATATCAAATTCACCCAAGGAACCTTGTCTGCCTATGTCCTTAGACCAACACGGCTACAACCTAAAACCCTGGCTAAGATGAGACATTCATCTGAAAATAAGTTTTGATGGTAGGAAGGAGATTCCCTGAGATAGTGTTGAATGACTTCAGGTATCATTCTAAACAATTGGTAATTAGTAGACCCGGGGGGGGAGGTGATTTTACTCAGTGTAACAGTTTTTGGCATAAGTATTAAGAAAGTGTTTGCTTGTAGCAAATAGAATGAACTCACAGGTGTTTTTAAATGCTAATATTATTTAATAAATCTGCTGACACTTTTTACTAATGTGTTATCAGTAAGTACCATATGTACTTGACTCCAAGACAACTGTGAATTTAAGATGACACCCTCCCCCCATTAATTAGATTCTGTATACATTAAATGTATACATTTGTTATAATTTAGAGGCCTACTTAATTCATGGTTTCATGGAAACCGCGAAAGCCAGGATTGTCCATGAAATCAACAACAACAAAATTAAAATTAAATGCTGACTCCTCACTGGGAGGTCCTTGATGCCAGGAGGGGAAAACACTGGCCCGAAGGGCAGCAGACAAATTGGCAGATGCCCCTTCATCCCTCCTTTCCCCAGTGGGGCCTCTCTTCCAATCAGCACTGAGGGGCAGGGCCACCATGAAATGCCTGCAAAATGGACTCTGCACACTGCAAGCAGGCTATAACAATCCCTTTGTCTCGCCACAATTTAGGTAGGTCCCTAGTTATAATTTTCCATGTAATTATTGGAGGGTTTTCTTACATTCATCCCCCAACCCCCACTGCTGCAGTGGGGAAAGCAGTGGCGAGAGGGGGGGCAGTTAGTGGAGGCAATGGGGGGCCCAATGTGGGGAGGACAGGTGGTGGGGGTAGGGAGAAAGTGGGGGTGGCCAAGACTGCAGGGGAGGGGGCAGCAAGGAGCAGCGGCAGCACTACGCCGA